CCGTACGCCTTTCCCAATCTTGAACCACTCTGTTGTTCCATGGTCAGTTCTTACTGTTGCTACTTGGTCCTTGTACAGATTCCTCAGGAGAGAGACAAGGTGGCTTGGGATGCCCATCCCACTAAGAACTTGCCACAAATGAATATAATTCAGGCTTGTTTTTGCTATGGACAGGAAGCTAGGCTAAATTCTATTCTTATTCTATGGATCTAAATACCCTAAGGCTTTAAAATAGGTTTTATGAAACAACTTTACTTTGGCGATAGAAGACCATGCAACACAACTGTGACTATACAATTAAGACAACCAGTGTTTCACCATTTGGTTCACATCAAGATATGTCTTGTCAATATGAAAGAAAATCAGTTTAGTGAAGCCAGAGGGAAAGAGGAAAATTTAAAAAGTGTTCACAAAGAGAGTATGTTAGAGCTTTCTTTAAAAAAAAAGATTTAAAGTGCAGAAATCCCATCTTTCTCAACATGTTTTTTTCCTGACTATCTAAATTCCACATTTGTCAATTTAGACATTGCAAAATGTTTAAGGAGAGGTTTCATTTTTATGCGTTGATGTGTTTTACTTAGATTTTAAGTAGATTGTAAGATTGAAAGATCTGCCTGATACAAAAAGAGAACTGCTCTGACTCTCAGCTAGTCAATTGTCTCAGGTGGTGGAGTACTGGGAATTGAAGATCTGCTACATCTTGCCCTACTCTAGTATGACCTGGCACTGCTCTCTGCAGCTGTCTCAATTTGGTTGCCAAAGGGAAATTCATCTGCAAGCATGGCCCACTTCTTGCCTGTTCAGGAATCAGGTACCTGAGCCAAAAAGAGGACACAGAAATAGTTGTGACAACAGCTACAGCCTTCACATCTCTGCTAACATCAGCAGCCAGCTGTATTGTATATGGTTGTCTCTTTGAACAATGAGTGGCTTGGCTGGAGTGGCAGGGATGACTTTGGAGCTGCTCCTACATAGAAGGCCAAAGATCCTCACAATTGGAATGCAACTTGAGAAGAAGCCACAAGTAAAAAATGCACAGAAATTATTTGGGGAAAGTATCTGGGGAAATATATTTTGAAGGCCATAAATGTTTAGAAACCATGTCCTATTTGTTTATTTATTGGGAAAAGTTTATATAATACCATACCACATTGGCATTTAGAGCATAAATACGAGAAAAGAAGACACCAATTGAGATCACAAATACTGAAATAGCAACATGGAAAATAACCCAAATTGAACCTATATATATATATATATATATATATATATATATTCCAGAAAGTTATACCGAGTTGGCAATTAAATCATGCCAGTTTGAGTACCTCTCAGAGAAGGGAAATATTGGCCTAGCATCTAAATGTTTGTGCCCCTGGTAGCACAATGGATCAAACCCTTGTGCCAGCAGGTTCAAATCAGGGAGACCGGGTTGAGCGCCCTCTGTTAGCTCCAGCTCCCAATGTGGGGACATGAGATAAACTTCCCATAAGGATGATAAAACATTAAACCTCCGGGCGTCCCCTGGTTAACATCCTTGCAGATGGCCAATTCTCTCACACCAGAAGCAACTTGCAGTTTCACAAGTCGTTCCTGACATGAAAAAACAATCTAAATGCTACTAATGAAGCTACAATAATGTAGTTTTAAGAAACCCTAAACAGGGTCAGTAAATGACCCTGGGTCAGGCTGACGAAAACAGTGCATTTTTAGGTAAACCATGAAAAAAAAACACTTATAATTTGTCAATAGGATGGCAATACAATACTCATAAATGAATGAATGAAAGGCAGCATTTTCATTTTCATGTATATTTGTGTCACTTCAATTTGCTTGTGACCCCCATTAATTTTGCTGCATTTACTTAGTTAAAGGATACTCAGAGGTGGCTTGCTATTGCCTTGCTCTGAAATAAAAGAACAGAAATCTGATACCAACAGTTCTATGTCCTATGCATTTTCTGTTTATTTCTGCAGAACAAATATTTAAAAGTCCTGAAGGAGGCTTTAGTTCTAAAAATATGTTGTTTTTTTCTTGAAGATATTCTCCAGATATTAGGATCTCTGTACCTAATAGGTCATATGTGTTCTTAGGCTTTCTCCAGAATACTCCCCAAAGCTACTGCCTCTCACTGGTTAGTTGTCAATCCTGGAGTCTCAACTCCCAACTATCCAAAATGTCCTAAACCTGGCAGAGAAATCAAAGAGTCACAATCAGAAATGACATCTGATCGAGTTTTTCAGCCCAGTGTGGGATGAAAATCTTCTAGAGCAGCCTATTCTGGTGTGAAAATTACCTCCTGCTCCTGCCAAAACTCTCTGTGGGCACATCTACACTGTAGAATTCATGCAACTTGACGCCACTTTAACTGCCATGGATCAGTGCTATGGATCTGTAGTTTGGTAAGGCAGCAACACTCTGTGATTAAGAAAAAGCCTTTGTTGTTGTTCATTCGTTCAGTCGTCTCCGACTCTTCGTGACCTCATGGACCAGCCCACGCCAGAGCTCCCTGTCGGCCGTTACCACCCCCAGCTCCCTCAAGGTCAGTCCAGTCACTTCAAGGATGCCATCCATCCATCTTGCCCTTGGTCGGCCCCTCTTCCTTTTGCCTTCCACTTTCCCCATCATAATTGTCTTCTCTAGGCTTTCCTGTCTCCTCATGATGTGGCCAAAGTACTTCAACTTTGTCTCTAGTATCTTTCCCTCCAGTGAGCAGTCGGGCTTTATTTCCTGGAGGATGACTGGTTGGATCTTCTC